TAGGCTACTGATACTGGAAGTGAGGTTTTCAGCATAAACTAATGATGAGTTATATAAAACGCGCTGGACCTCTGGCTTCCCTTGTCATCACGCAGCTCAGTATTGTAATTATTATCCCTGTTTCAATGATTTATCTCTCATTACACGTCCAGCAAATGACTGGTGTTCAGACGCAGTTACCGCTGAGAGTAAAATGTTCCTAATATCACCAAGTAATGTATGAATAAAGATAAAATATTAATGCTATTTAACCAAAATGGTGCATTTAGCAGTCACTAGTTTCCAAGTGGAACCCACATATTGTATTATTACATTATTATAATCAAACCTAGGACTGTTTTATACTTGTAATAATGGAGTCATTATTTAAGAGGTAACTTTCTTGACTGATGAAAAGGCATTACAGCTTCATTTTTACTCTGAATTGAACCATTTGGTGTAGCCCTAATGTGAAACAAATATATGAGGTACTAAAGTAATAATTGCAAAGTATCTTATATACCTGATGGTATGTGATCCTTTAATCGAGGTCTTATAACTTTAAGAGGATAAATATATACAATAGTGTAAAAACACACAGTATAAAGTGGTGTTACAGTGTGACAAGGAAATACTCACTCACAAATTTCAGAGCTATACACCTAGCTCAAGTATGAAGGGCATATGGATCCATCAAAGCGACCCTCCCCTTCTTGTTTTCAGTATCCTACTGGTGTTGTCCTTCACGTTTCAGTGGCAAAGTTGACCGATTACTTGAATTCTCACTGACCCAGTCAGTAGCATTCAGTTCTCTGTAGAATGCAAGTCAACGTATAAACTACCTTAGGTCCAAGGGTTGGATATAGCCGGCAGCAAAGAGAAGACAGGGGAGGGGGGGTTCACTCAGTTGAGGGAGAGCAGCTGATCTCAACTCTCAGATCTGATTTTTGCCACGCATATGCAATAGCCTCTCAATGCTTTCCTATGGGAAAGCATTGCATCGCTTGAGATCATCGCTTTTTTATTTTTTACTATCATGCAAGGTCCCATGAGCATCAGGAAGCAATGGATTCTAAGTCAGTTACTGCCACCATCTAGCCTCGCTCTTCTCACTCCAGAATGCAGGCTACCCTACCTCCAGAAGATGGAAGAAGTAACTGCGTTAGCATGCTCTGGTGGCATAGTGTCTCTTTAAACTTCATGGATGGTGTCTGCGTACTGCATGGAGTGTGTCTGACTCTGAACTGAAAATGACGCAAAATCTACTTTAGGCAGTGAGAGAGTTAATTGTCATGGAAATAGGGGAGTCTAAATTGGGGAGGGAGATCTTGCATTTTGGATTAAGGTGACAGCAGAGTTGACTATACAGTGGGTACATTTTTAAGAAATTAGAGGTTAATTGTCTGTAGTGGTAAGAAGACAGAAAAAATCTTGCATACAGGGCCCTTTGTTCATTAGTCCAGCTACTGCTTGGCTGTGTAATAGTATATGGGAGGCTTGGTTAACCTGCTTTAATGTCTCTGGCTTCCAACAGGGTTGATCCTAGGGTTCGGGACGCCTGGTTGCAGAATTTGTTTTGGCACCCCGAGTGGGTGTGGTCATCTCGCTAACTGTTGCCATAGAAACATGCATGTCTGGACTTGGCAAATGTCCAGTCCAGACATGCATGTTTCTATTGCAACAAATCCACCTCTCCATCTATATGTCCCACACCTTTTTGTAATCAGACACACCCACTGACAGTCACACACTCTCACTCACTGACACACTCACACTCTTAATGACAGACACACAATCTCACTTATTTGAAACACTTATTGACAGACACACAGACACACACACTGACATACACACAGACACACATACTGTCAGATCCCCTGTACTTACCATGGCGGTCCGCCGATCAGCTGTTGCGCGTGTGTATCTGTATGTGTATCTCTTGTCTGTGTATTTGTTTGTGTGTCAATGTGTGCCCCTGTGCATCTGTATGTGTCTGTGTAATCCTATGTGTATCCGTGTTTGTATAAGTATTAGTGTCCTTCTGTGTCGGAGTATATGTATGTGTGTTAATGTGTGTCTGTATATCTGCATGTGTGTGCCCCTGTGTGTGTTTGCATCTGTATTTGTGTCCGTGTTTGTATCTGTTGTGAGTGTCATTGTGGGTATCTGTGTCTGTGTATCTGCATGTTTAAGAGACTAAATAGTTGCAGCGCACTCAGACTACAAAACAATATATAATACAAAGAAGGCTACTAAAATGCCTATCTGAGAATAAATATGGGGATTTGGTTCCACTATATGGCCATATGTTGTTAAGCCCACCACTACTTTCAAAGTACACCAATATTGGTGGGTCCTACCAGGGACGTATTAGCCGCGAGGCAAACAAGGCATTTGCCTTGGGCGGCATTTTTCAGGGGGCGGCAAAAAACGCCGCCCCCCAAATGCCCAGGGCAGATGCCTTGTTAGCCTTGCGGCTAACTGACATCCCGGGCGGCCGGCGAGGGAGCACTTCCCATGAGCTGACTGCTCAGCTCCCTCGCGCACCGCAAAGTGAGGCTGGGAGCCGGAAGATGACGTCATCTTCCGGTTCCCAGCCTCACTCTGCAGCCGACGCGCGAGGGAGCTGAGCAGTCAGCTCATGGGAAGTGCTCCCTCGCCGGCCGCCCGCCCGCCCTGCCAGCGCCGCCCGCCCTGCAGCCACTGGACCACCAGGGAGAGAGACACCCCCCCCAGCACTCCCAAAGGTAAGGAGGTTGGGGGGGGATTTAAATTAAAAAAAAAAATGTTAAAGTGTGTGTGTGTTTGTGTCTGACTGTGAGTGTGTGTGTTTGTGTCTGTGTCTGTGTATGTGTCTGACTGTGTGTGTGTGTGTTTGTGTCTGACTGTGTGTGTGTTTGTGACTGTGTGTGTCTGTGTGTGTTTGTCTGACTGTGTGTGTCTGACTGTGTATGTGTGTGTGTGCGTGTCTGACTGTGTGTGTGTGTGTTTGTGTCTGACTGTGTGTGTGTGTGTGTTTGTGTATGTGTCTGACTGTGTGTGTGTGTTTGTGTATGTGTCTGACTGTGTGTGTGTGTGTGTGTGTGTGTATGTGTCTGACTGTGTGTGTGTGTATTTAGAAGGTGGAGGGGGAAAGGGTTGGGTGGGGGTGGGCGGGGGGAAGGGTTGGGTGGGGGTGGCTTGGGGGGGGGCGCCTGAGTTTTGTCCTGCCTAGGGCAGCACAAAACCAGGATACACCACTGGGTCCTACGCTAAAAATGTGGGGGACAAATTAAATAGTACTAGTGTTGAAAATGACAAGTGTTAAATTAAATCCTGATAAGAGCATAGTGAGTATACAAAAATGAGTGATGAAAGCAATTAAAAACAGTGTTAAAACTAAACAAATAATGTGTTAGTGCTAAAAGGAGTATACTCACTATAGCAGATGATATCTGTGCTGACTGGAGAAAATAATAAAAGTGACTATTGAGAAACTCCTCCTATTTATACACACCTGTGGCCACCTCTAAAGGAGCCTCTGAAGCTGGGGGGCCTGGGCGGGGTGCTTAACCCCTAAGGAATCTGGTCTGGATTCCAAATATAATGTATACAGAAAAAGGATAGGGGGCACTCCCGAGACCTGCATTTTGTATGAAAGGTGCTGCCGCAGTGACCAAACTTCATACATAAGAAAATAAATAGTTGCAGTGCACTCAGACTACAAAACAATATATAATACAAAGAAGGCTACTAAAATGCCTATCTAACATATGGCCATATGGTGGAACTAAATCCCCATATTTATTCTCAGATAGGCATTTTAGTAGCCTTCTTTGTATTATATATTGTTTTGTAGTCTGAGTGCGCTGCAACTATTTATTTTCTTATGTATGAAGTTTGGTCACTGTGGCAGCACCTTTCCTACAAAATGCAGGTCTCGGGAGTGCCCCCTATCCTTTTTCTGTATGTGTATCTGCGTGTGTATATCTGTATGTGTGTTATCATGTGTATCTATGTGCCTGTGTATCTGCAATGACACAGATACACACAATGACACAGATACAGGCTGTCTTCTCCAGAAGGAGATGCAGGAGCTCTGTTTACAGCAAAGCAGGGCCAGGTGCTACAGGCAGATCTACTAATTTGTGCATCTGTAGTGAATTTATAGGTAATTAGCTTTTTTATTATTTCAAGTTTTTGAATATTATACGCATAGTGTAAATATACTATATGTTCTGTTAAACACAGCTCAGGTATTTTCCCTAATTGGCTCTTTAGGTTAAAAGTATGCATTTTGTTTTAATTTATTAGAATGATCTGATTTGGAAAAAAAATGCTTTTGTTCAAAATTCAGACATTCCCTTTCAAGCTTAATTTTGAAGGGTGTCTTAAACATGGCAAATCTTTACAGGCTTGACATTTCACATCATCAGAGCTGAATCCAGAGCATTTTATTATGTTTTAACCCTTTAATGATCAGTTAGAATGTTGCTGCCATTATAATCTGATCCCTAGGGAACTCATGCCTGCCTAGCATCAATAATAGCTTTAGCAACCTTGTATTTGTGAGGGAATGGTAGATCTGTTGGTTTCAGTAGGATTTGTCTCCTCCTGCCTCTACCCGAGTGCAGACCTGAGACCGTCTTTTAAATTAACATCAGAATGTTGTACTAACATAAGAGGTTAATACTGCTTTATTCTATAGGGAAGCTATTAAACCCATGGAAATTGTATCAGTTTCCCAGGACAAGCTAAGTCTGTCATTAGGCAGGTGTTAGTGGTAATGTTATTCCAACCAGCAGAAGCAGGGGCTCAATCCCAACAGGTAGACTCCCAAATAACCAACACAGTCAGAGGATTCTATTTATTATTACTCCCAAGGAATAACCACTCGTCTCACAAAATGGACTAGAAAGTGCTCAGAAAATGAATAACAGAATAAAAAATATTCATTAAAATAAAAAAAATTTATTACATGGACCTTAACATGCTTTGTTATTGTTTGAATGTAAAAAAACATACAGCACGTAAATATATTACATAAAAATAACAAAACATATAATAAACCAAAAAGACGCAAGGACAGACAACGTGCTTTAATTCAGATGATGGTAGATTACAACTCCTACAACTCTGTAGTTCTAGTCCAACCATTGCTGGCAGGATGAAAGTGACTGTATGGGTGGACCGTTTGCATCAATTCAGCTGTTACTGGACTTCAACTGTCTTCATCCTCAGCCTTCAATTGATGGCTGGGAGTGATTATGTAGTCCAGCAACAGTTGCCCATCCCTGGAATACAGAATAGAAAATCTATAAACAGAAAATAAAAGATAACAAATCACACACGAGCCCTCGTCATTCCTGCTCTCCCATGGAAATCAAACAGCATTGTGTATTGGTCCATATTATTATTCTGCCTATAAACATTTTAACAGAAACGTGTTGCATGATGTCCGTCGCGGGCAGTCACATAGCCGGCCAATCCTTGCCCCTTTCCTGACAGCGCACTGTTCACCAGCGTCACACTGAAACAGAAACACATGAGTGAACACAACATCACTAGGACATTCCACTGGGGTTCAGGGTAGTCAAACAACTAGCACTTCTACAACAGAACATACCAGGGTGTACAGAGATTTACTAACAGAGAATGCTGGAGAACTGAGCTATTTTTCTTTCTTTTTTTTTTTTTTTATATTCTCTATTGAGCACAAAAATACAAGACGCAAATACAGATAACAATGAGAAGCATTATACTTATATATCATATACAGACATAGGCGTGCACAGCCTGTTGCATTAGGGTGTGCACCCTAAACCACAAACACACACGCCGCGTACATACATATACATATATATATATATATATGTATGTATGTGCAGTGTGATTGTGAGCGGTGCAGTGTGTGTGATTGCGAGGGATACAGTGTGTTTGTGTAATTGTGAAAGGTACAGTGTGATTGTGAGGGGTACAGTGCATGTGATTGTGAGGAGTACAGTGTGTGTGTGATTGTGAGGGATGCAGTGTGTGTGGGGTACAGTGTGTAGGATTGTGAGAAGTGCACTGTGTGGGCGACAGGGGTTGGGGGTGGAGGGGCAAGTGTTGTGTGTAGGGGTGGGTGGAGGGGCAGGGGCTGAGGGGTGGGAGGGCAGGGGCAGGCTGGGGGGTAGAGGGGCAGGGGTTGGGGGTAGAGGGGCGTGACAGTGGTTGGGGGGATAGAGGGACAGGGTTTAGGGCAGTGATGGGGTTGGGGGGTGAGGCAACAAGGGGTTGGGGGTGGAGGGGCAGGGCTGGGGTGGAGCAGGTTGGGGTGGATGGGGCAGCCGGGCAGGGGCTGGGGGGTAGAGGGGCGTTTTGTGGGTTGGGGTGAAGAAGCTAAGTGGGAGAGTGGTAAGGGGGTGGAGGCGCGCACAGGGCTAGGGGGGTGGAGGACAGTGACAGGTTAGTGGGTGGAGGACAGTGACAGGAGAAGAGGCAGTGAGAGGCAAGTGGAGTGGAGGCGCACAGGGTGTGGGGGGGTGAAGAAGCAGTGAGAGTGGTAAGGGGGCGGAGGGGCAGACAGGGGTTAGGGGGGTGGGAGGGACAGTGACAGGGGTTAGTGGGGTGGAGTGGACAGTGACAGGGGTTAGGGGCAAGTGCGTGAAGAGGCAGTGAGAGGTGGAGGGCAGTGACAGGGTGTGGGGGGGTGAAGCATTGAGAGGGGCAGAGGAGGTGGAGGTGACAGGTTGGGGCGGTGGAGGGGCAGTGACAGGGGTTAGGGGGGTGGAGGGGCATTGATAGGGGGGGTGGAGGGGCAGTGAGTGACAGGGGGCAGAGGGTTTAAATACGTTCCCTGGTGGTCCAGTGGGCGCCCTCTCTCTTCAGTCTGCAGCCCCGCCAGGAGTGAGCTGCAGACCACATGGTGAGTCTCGCGATCTCAAGTCAGTCAGAGCGTTGCCGTGGTAACCCGCGGCAACGCTCTGACAGGCTGGAGATCGCGAGACACTTCAGTCTGCAGCTCAATCCCGGCGGAGCTGCAGACTGAGCCTGTATCTCCATCAGGGCAAGCCGCCGGGCCCCCTCCTGTGTCGGGCATGTTAGTCTGCCCTAAGGCAGTGCAGCATGGAGGTGTGATTAGAGTGTGCCCAGGCACACCCGGCACACCCCGTGCGCACGCCTTGGTATACAGACAGTGTCTATTTTCTAGAAATATATAGAAAAGAAAAATCTGAAGGGAAAAAAAAAAGGGGTTACAGACTGGATACATTTGGCCCTTAATAGATTATAATCTCGTTTAAACAGGGTCTTCACCTCTTGTCTGTTAAATTCCGAATGTAAATTACTTACCGTCAAATATCCCCCATTTTATAATTGTAAAGTGCTGTGTAATATGTAGGCGCTATATTGATTATTATTATTATTATTATTATTATTATTATTAACCCTGAGCCCAAGGATGGGGAGGGTAGAGAGGAGGAGCATCTGTGAAATGTTGAGTTTTTATACCAAAATAGCTGGGATAAAAAAAGTAGTTTCATTTAACATAGAATTTTAATAATATCTGTTTATAAATTAGGGAACTTACCGGAAGTGATTGCTGAGTTTATTTAGCATTTTTTAATCATTGATTTATGTCCCATCTGGGTTATGTTATATTTCACAGTTGGTCTGTTGCCGGTGTGTGTATGAAAATTCAACATGTGATTATGTCATGAAGATGACGATTCCATAAAATTACAAATAGTGCTATTTCCTATTTCCCCTTATCTATCAGGGATTTCACCAACTAGGGCTATTTACTAAATTGTGAGTTCAAAGTGAATTTAGAGAGAATTTCAAATTTAAAGCCAGAATACCTAAACGGAAAGCATAATTGACAGATATTTTCTTCAGTTTGACTATTTTCACGTTAAGTTTTAAATTTACTTTGAATTTACATTGAATTCTCCCTTTAGTGAAAAACCCTGTGAGGGAATTCCAATTTTAGAGAAACCGGCTGGAGTGAAATTTTTTTACAGTTAAGGCATAAACTAAAATTTTATATTACTTTGAATATCAAACAAATCAAATTAGTGGCGTTTTTACACTAAACAGACAATCGTAGTGAATTGTAAACTGAATTGCAAATTATAGCCTAAATAATCTGTTACTATACCTGAGTTTGAGAATTTTTTTTAATCAGCAATTTTGGCCTACATTTGGTTTCAGCTCACTGCTATTCACTGGTTATTTAAAGGAGCATTATAGGGTCAGGAACACAAACATATATTTTTGACTCTATAGGGTTAAAACCACCATCTAGCCACCCTGGCCCTCTCTTGACTCCATAAATATAGTAAAATCTTACTTGTATTCAAGCCTGAAGCTGCTGGCTCTGCCCATGTCTGCCTCAGAATAGCAAGCTGTCTGCTGACATAATCAGAAGTGTTGTTCTGAGCCAATCACAATGCTTCCCCATAGGATTGTCTGAGACTGTGAATGAGGCAGATCAGGGGCAGAGCCAACACAAGTTAAACACAGCTCTGGCGAATCAGCATCTCCTCATAGTGATGAAATGAATCAATGCACCTCTATGAGGAAAGTTCAGTGTGTGTGCATGCAGAGGATGGAGACACTGAATGGCAGTCACACTGTGCAGCAGGAAGCACCTTTAGCAGCCATCTGAAGCTATCACTAGGCTGTAATGTAAACACTGCATTTTCTCTGAAAAGACAGTGTTTACAACAAAAAGCCTGAAGGTAATGATTCTACTCACCAGAACAAATGCAATAAGCTGTAGTTGTTCTCGTGACTATAGTGTCCCTTTAATAAGTCCCTAAGTATCGAATTTCTTGTTTTCTTCATAATCCTATCTACGGCCAGAGGAGCATACCTGACTCTTCTTGTAGCTTGTAGTTTGACCATAAAATTTAAATTCACTTTGAATTTATTTTGTTTTTGAATTTAAAAAATCCTGTGCTTTTTTTTTTTATTTTTATTTTTTTTATTGCCTTGTGATCCATAGTTCTGTTTCACAACTCATTTGAACACTAATCAAAAAATATTAAACAAAAAAATTGTTTTTCCCCATAGGCTCATGCTTCTTCCTTCCCCTCTCTTCTAATTGACAGTGTTTGCTCTGTCATATCATTATCTTTACATTATATCATCTAGCTGTTCTACAATTGAAGTAGAGCTCCCAGAAACCCTTGTTGTGACCATAATACCCTGCTTATGGGATAAGCTGAGCAGTGCGATGAATTTTAAATGAGCATTCTGATTGGCTGAGTAACTTACTGGTTACAGTGCAGAATGCACACAGCCTTGGGCTTTTGCACCCAATGCAGGAACTTGAAATGTAAGTATCTATCTTATTTTTAATGTTAAGAATGGTTCAACTCCTGGCCAAGGAGTACCTACATGTACAGTGTTCTACGTACAGGGGAGGAGTAACTGCTGTATTCTTCATGGAACTCTCGTTAAATTACTAATTTTCTTTCTATTCTGTTAATAACGACTGGGAATACCTTGTTGGGGTTAGCCGTTTGTTCATAAAGAATGCTCTCCTGCCAGGAAAGAAAGGGATCACTTACCATGGGTACCTGTCCATATTTTTTCTCAAATGAGGGGAGTCGTTTATTTTTTAGTTTTTCCAACACTTCTTGTAGTGCATCAATCTTAAAGACAAAAACAAGACAGTAGTCAAAATACATCAAGCCAGGGAAAGCTGCACTCCTATGTACCAAGTATCATTCTATGTACACTACGGGGCTTTGTCACTAAACAGCAAATTGTAGTGAACTGAAAACCGAACTTCAAAACTGAGACAAAAATAGCTGACTTGGGAAAATTATCTAACTCCGCTACAGTCACAGGTTTGCAATTTCAGCCTAAATTTTGCAATTCAGCTCCTATTATTTCTTTCTGATGGTGTAAGAATTCTGTTTAAACACTGTAACATCTTCAGTCCACTTTGTATAGGATTCCACAAGAGACTGACTGCTAGGAACCACAGGTGGCTCTAGTGAACAAACTGCTTTTAATGCATCATGGGAAATGTAGTCAACAGCATCAACAGTGCCAAAATGTTTGTTACCATTTCTCTTATGTAAATATATATATTTATAGCTAGCATGGAGCTTTTAATCAGGTGGGATATTTTGTAACAATGTGACGAAGTGTTCTCTAACAGCTGGGAATATATTTTGTTACCGACCTGCTTGTTTTTTGCTATTAAATGTTTTATTTAGGCTTTATTTATTGTACGAAAATACAGAAGTCTAAACACTAACAAGCTTACTGACTAACAGAGAATTGTTAGAAATTCAAAGTGAATTCAAACTAAATTTAACATTTCAGATCAAAATAGTCAGAATGGGAGCAGACCTGAATTTTCCCAGTTTACCGATTTGGTATTAAATTTGAAATTGACCTTGACTTCCTGACAATTCTCACTTTCTTGAATAACCCTGTTAATAAAAGTATAATAAAATAACAGAAGGTCACAAAAGTGCATAACAAAATGTTATTGATAAGAATGATCAAACCCTCAGCCATAGTTTGACTTTTAATAATAAAGGGGAGATAGTAGAAGAACAAAGGAAGGAAAGGAGAGAGATAGGGTGCAAGACATGGAGAAGTTGAAAGAGAGAAGAATATAGAAAAATATACGCCCTTGTCGCTGACTGATTTAAGAAAAGAACGTCTCGTAATTTTACAGTAAGATTAAAGGAAAAGCAACAATTTGTTATTTATTAAATTAATATTTCAAATGTTCCACGTTCCATTCCGAAACAGCTGGAATCCTCAAGATTAATGTGATAACTAACCCTATAGACTGGTAGCTCGTTTGAGCAGAGCCCTCTTCAACCTATCGTTCCTGTAAGTTTTTTGCAACTGTCTTATTTATTGTTAGATCTCCCCCTCTCGTAATATTGTAAAGCACTACGGAATCTGTTGGCGCTATATAAATGTCGATAATAATAAAATAAAAATCACACTCGGCCAAGCACGGAAACAAAAGGGTCTATTTACTAAATAGTGAGTTTCCTAAAGCAAATTCAGTAAATTTCATTGTAAGGTTCGCTGTACTCACTATCAACCAAATGCTAAGCAAAACGAGTCCAATGGATCCCTGCTATGTTAATTCTCAATTCAATCTTTCGATTCAGATTTGAAAACAGCTCAACTGAATTACAGCTGCAATGGGGCTAAATGTCAGTGCTTCAAGGAACACAATACTACAAAGGTAAGTGTAGGGGGATGATTTGGGGATGTATTGTAATAGGCATACGAGAGATTTATAATGTTTTAGGTTGACCTAGGGTTAGGGGGGCTTGTGGTGATCGGTGGGTGCTATATGTTTAAGGAAAACTGGATCAAAGAATTTGGGTCACAATTCGGCTGTTTATTAATAGCTGAATCAGTGAAATGACATGGAATTTAGTCATCTCAGCCAGCAATTGAACTGAGCCAAACAGAACTGACAATTCAGTTGCAAGACCCAAATTCACTTTTTATAAATAGCCAACTTGGTTACATTCAGTTAAAACCGTTGAATTTTCACAATCAGATGGCATTCGGCTGCCTTTCCAGTGGTCAGTGAATAGACACCAAAATCTCTCACAGACCCACGTGTTTACTTTTATTACTGGCATTTATAAAGCGCCAACATATTCCGCAGCGCTGATGTAATGGTTACATCATCATCAGGTCGCATCATGATAAAAGCATTCGGTATATTGTTGCAAAATTGGAAGCGCTTCAAGCTGGGGTTTTCTTGCATTCATTTAGATCACTCAAGTCTCTTTCCAACCGTGTAACTGTGTAATAAGGGTTATTTTAAGGTTAACATGTTCATACTGGCTAAAGAAAACTTGCTCTAGTAAGAAATCAGCAAAATAATATCCATGGTTTAAATATAAACCCTGGCAGTGTTTCCATGACTTTAAATTAACATATAGGGATGATGAGTGCTTGAGGAAGCTTGTCCCATGCATTCAGTAACTGTCAGTCTATGTTACAATGTGTTCAGATTAAACTTAAAGCAACCAGCCCTTTCCATTAAATCCCAAAATCTGAACAGAACAAGCTAATAACAGGTGGGAAGCTAAACGCCATCACCACTTCACAAGTTAAACAAGAGGACAATAGATATATGGGTACAGGTTATAATAAAAGCTATAGGTAAAGCTGGCTATAAGTATATCTGTAGCTTTCTCCATGTGGTGCTAGTAGCTGGGGATCTACCTTTTGTTCAATGCCATGCCAGTACTCACCAGCTCCTTCTCATGGTAGGGGTTCTCTATAGGAGAGTAGAAGTCCAGGGCTCTGGGCTCCAGGTAGTCTGAGTCCTCACAGTTGGCTCTGAGCAGTAACACTAGGAAGGTAGAAGTCAGCAGGCTGATTGCCAGGTGCATCCTGGAGGATTCCATTGAGCTGATCCTCTGTGTCTGAGGTCCCCCAGCAGCACTCACTTTATATAGAGAGAGCCAGAGGAAGGGGGGTATAGCATTGCCTGTCATGACCACCTCTTACACAGCAACATTCAAATTAGGGAGGCAGAGACCCTGTCATACAGTCTGCTGCAGAACTGAATAGATCACAGCCAGAGATGCAGAGTTGCAATCACCCATAGGTTTATATGGAAAGTAACTCCTAAATGGCTTCATGTTCTGAGTGCGCAATTGGTGTAAATTACCTATATTACTTAGTGTCAGAGATCAGGGGTGAGTGATTTAAAATATATCTGATGCATGCTGGAAGATTAACATTCTGGATCCTGTGTATATTGTATCTGTTACAGTCAGGGCCGCCATCAGAAATTTTGGGGCCCCTGACAAAGCACAAGGTTTGGGCCCCCCCCCCTCCCTCCCTCCCGGGCCCGCACAGGCCCTACCTGGACCGCTGACAATGATGCAGGACTGAATGTGGTGTGTATAGTGGAAGTGAATTAGAATGTGTGTAATGGATGTAGTGTTTGTGTGTATTAGATACTGTTTGTACAGTGAATGCAGAGTGTGTGTTTGTGTAGCGGATGCATTGTGTGTACAGTTAATGCAGAGTGTATGTTAGTGTAATGAATGCAGAGTGTGTGTCAGTATAGTGAATGCAGAGTATGTCAGTGTAATGAATGTAGTGTGTGTGTGTTAATGCAGTGAATGCAGAGTGTGTGTAAATTTGTAGTAAATGCAGAGTGTGTGTTAATGTGTAGTGAATGCAGAGTGTGTGTTAATGTGTAGTGAATGCAGAGTGTGTGTTAATGTGTAGTGAATGCAGAGTGTGTGTTAGTGTAGTGAATGCAGAGTGTGTGTTAGTGTAGTGAATGCAGAGTGTGTGTTAGTGTAGTGAATGCAGAGAGTGTGTTAGTGTAGTGAATGCAGAGAGTGTGTTAATGTGTAGTGAATGCAGAGAGTGTGTTAGTGTGTAGGGGATGCAGAGTGTGTGTTAGTGTAGTGAATGCAGAGATTGTGTTAGTGTGTAGCGGATGCAGAGTGTGTGTGTTAGTGTAGTGAATGCAGAGTGTGTTAATGTGTAGTGAATGCAGAGAGTGTGTTAGTGTGTAGTGGATGCAGAGTGTGTGTTAGTGTAGTGAATGCAGAGAGTGTGTTAGTGTGTGGTGGATGCAGAGTGTGTGTTAATGTGTAGCGGATTCAGAGTGTGTGTTAGTGTAGTGAATGCAGAGTGTGTGTTAGTGTGTGGCGGATGCAGAGTGTGTGTTAGTGTGCAGCGGATGCAGAGTGTGTGTTAGTGTAGTGAATGCAGAGTGTGTTAATGTGTAGCGAAAGAGTGTGTGTCAGTATAGTGGATGCAGTGAGTGTGTTAGTGTGTAGTGTATACAGAGTGTATGTTGTATTAGTGTATGCAGTGTGTGTGTTGTGTTAGTGTATGCAGTGTGTGTGTTGTGTTAGTGTATGCAGTGTGTTGTGTTAGTGTATGCAGTGTGTGTGTTGTGTTAGTGTATGCAGTGTGTGTTGTGTTAGTGAATGCAGTGTGTGTTGTGTTAGTGTATGCAGTGTATGTGTGTGTTAGTGTATGCAGTGTGTGTTGTGTAAATGTGTGATCTGGGGGGGAGGGGGAGGAAGGGGCATTTTAACACTAATTTTGAATTAATTTAATTAAATGTTTCTCCCCCCTCCCTGCTTACCTGTATCCAGGGAGGGGGGAGATTCCATCTGTGGTGGTCCGGTGGGGGCCCCCCCGGCTCCCTGTTACCGTCCGCAGAGGGGGCCCAGGCAGCACACAGCTTCTCCTCTTCTAATAACTCTCGCGAGACCCGTGGAGCGTTGCCATGGTAACCGGGTCTCGCGAGAGTTATTAGAAGAGAGAAGAGAGGAGGAGAAGCTGCTCCTGTGCTGCCTGGGCCCCCTCTGCGGTAACAGGGAGCCGGGGGCCCGCGGCTGCACACATAGATAGCGATATTCGTTATCTATGTGTGCAGAGAAACAAAGTGGGCCCCAGGACTGCCAGAGCAGTCCGGGCCCCCCAGGGCCGCCGGGCCCGTGACAACAGTCACGGTTGTCACCCCCTGATGGCGGCCCTGGTTACAGTAGTCTACATGTCTCATTCATAGAAAGATTTAATTCTGTAATAAAATCTATCAAGGAAAAATCTGGTGTGTGAGCAACTCCCATCACACAGAACAGGCTAGTTCAGTATGATGGGAATTGTAGTCTGGAGGGGACTTGTATTCAAATCACAATTCTCATGGGATAATAATCACAAGTCATGCAATACTGACCTATACAGCTCAAGGAATATTGTTGCAATTAAATTGCCCTTAAAGTCAAGGATCTGGCAGCACCCAGCTGGTTCCTCTGTGGGTGCATGTCATAAAATGAATACTTGTCTTTACTGTAATAAAATATATATATATATATATATATATATATATATATATATATATATATATATATATATATATACAGCATGTGTTGTGCCTATACTAGGAGTTTGCATTGTATAAGCAGCCAACATGTTTGTATATAACTGCCAGCCTTAGTGTGTCTCTATGGAGATATATAGTCATAAAACTCATGGAACATATTAAAGGAAGTAGGCCTTGACAGAGCCAGAGTAGGCAAAATTGTGCAGTCCAGGTAGGGTTGAAAGCAATAATGGAGCTTGGGGGCAGAGATTAAAAGGTTAAAATAACGGCCATCTTAGAGAGTGGCCATTTTAATCAGAACTTCACTTACCTGTTAGTTGTGTCAGGTCTGTGGGGTTTTTCTTTTTTCTTTTTCTGCAGGTCCATGGCGTCCCTGGATGAGATCCTGGCTGGAGTGAGAGCAGCAGTGAAGGACCGAGGGCTGGCCTGGCTGCATGAGCAACTGGGGGCTGCAGTTCCCCCTCCAGCACCAGCGGAGCGCAGGACGGCGCGAAGAGCACGGCCGCCCCAGCGCTTGAGTCCGGGCATGGCGCCCGCTCCACGGCGGCGGAGGAGCCCGTCGGCACCCAGCCAGGAGGCAAGAGGGTCGGACAGCACTGGGAAGCGGCCGGCGCCGCCTGTGCGCCGCGGTGCCGGTCAGGCGAGGACGGCCGCAAAGCGCGGGCCTCCTGGGAAATGCGCCCCACTCAAGATGGCGGCAGGCAGCACGAGTACCCCAGAGGAGGGCTCCAGCACGGCGGGAATGGCGGCCGGGAGAGCGGAGGAACACGTGGTCGGCAGCACTTCAGTGAGGCGTCCCGGTGAGTCCACTCTGGTCACTGAGGGGCAGGGGGCGGGCGGGACGCGGGATCCTGCGGCGCAGGCGGCCCCCCAGCAACCCAGGGGGGGCCTGGTCAGCGGGAGCAGCTCACGGGCGGCCTTAGATGTGGCCGGGACGGGCGACAGTGCCAGGCATAGGGATGAGGGGCGGCAGGAGGACGACAGGATCGGACAGAGAGCGGCAGAGGTTCCAGCGGGCTGCCAGGGGGTGCAAGGGGCCTCTGAACCAGGCGCAGCGGCCAGCAGATGGCCAGGTACAGCGGAGAAGGGTGACACACGCGGTACAGCGCGGGATAGGGAGGTCAGGAGCAGTAGCAGTGGAAGGATGGGCCCCTCAGGCTGCTCTCACGGGGGGCACCGCAGCGGGACCAGGGAGCCGGAGGATTACAGACGGGAGCGGCGCAGCGGTAGCGCCAGGCCCGGCAGCAGCAGGAGGTCAGCAGATCGGCAGTGGAGCAGGGGCAGGAGTCCATCGCATAGCAGGCGCAGTGGTTCCAGGACCAGCTGCAGGGTGGGGAGAAGGAGGTCCGCTTCCAAGGACGGGCGGGGGCGGAGGCGGCGCAGCGCATCTGGGTCCTCGGGTGACAGTGTGCTAGGACAGCAGCGGGCCCCCAGGAGCAGGGAAGTTAGGCCGGCGAGGCGGTGCGAAGCTTGGAACTGCAGAAGAGAGCGTAGGGACGAAGGACGGGTAGGGGCCCAGCAGTACAGACTACCCAGGTTGTCTTCTCCTTACAGGTCGCGGAGCGCTACCCCTACGGTCCTGAGGAGGGATCAGGCGGATGGGAGTCGGCGTCAACCGGATGCTCCGGAGCCTGAACGGGTGGACGGAAGGTCGGCAACCCCGGGGCCTGGCACGGCCGGGGGCTCCAACGGTGAGTCCATATCTGCACAACACTCCGGACAGTTATTGGGCTATTTAAAAACATTATTGGAGGCATGGTCAGGGAAGGGGGAATCACCATTGCAGTTCGGAAAGGTATGGTCCCCTGACATGGCGGTTAAGGCACTAGGGGCGGTGGGCCAACCGGCGAGCGGTGGCGAGACAAGCGAAGCGGTAGTGGCGTCCGGTGCGACGGAATGGGGGGCTGAGTCGGCAGTCGGTTGTGGCGACATTTCGGACGCGGCACGTCAAAACGTACACGTATCCTTTGCGGGCCCCCTAGGTTGTCACCTGAAATTAGAGGTCAAAGAAAAGATTTGGAAAGGGGAGTTCATGGAAATTTTTTCCTTGCTCCCTTTGGAGGAGTTCCTAGACTTGAAGGAGGAAGATAAGAAGGACGCCAAGAAGGAGGAAGAGGAAAAAAGGCGGAGGTATCGCAAGATACCGAAGACTTTTGGGAATTGGCTGAGGGCATTCTGCATACTGGCTAGTGTGATAGGGGAAAAAAGGCCGGGGAGCTGTTCGCAACTGTTCTGCTACTTGGATGGGATAGGTGATGCGTATCGGACGTATGGGGGCCTAGCATGGTGGAAATATGATGAGCAGTTTCGGCAACGCTTGGCGGCCAACCCTACCATGCGGTGGGACCAAATGGACCTGCCGCTATGGATGAGGATTATGATGGCGCAGAAGGCTGCGCCCTTTCTCGGGGCAGCTGGGACAGCCTCAGGCGTGGCTGTGCCAGCGGGACAAAAGAAGGGCCTGTGCTGGACGTACAACGAGGGTCAATGCAAGTGGGGTACTTCATGCCGATTTAGGCACGAGTGTTCGGGCTGCGGAGGGAATCACGGCGCCAGCAGATGCTTCAAGAAAGGTAAGCTCAATGCAGGGGGTGGAACCGCAGGGGTGGCGGCCACCTCGGCTGCAACTGGGGGCGT